AGCAGAGCCTTGGCTCTCGTCCTTCCGTCGTCTCCGTCTCCTTCTGGCCACATCCGGTTGGTACTCCCGATGGTAAGCTGGTGCTTTTGCGCCGACACGGCGTCCACCAGTCCCTTCTGAGGCTCATGGGTTTCCCAGAGGTACACGAGGAAGGCGCTGGACTTCCACCAGCCGAAGTGCTTGTCAGCCTCTCCAGGTCGGGGGACCGCGTTGTACATAGCAACGGCCCAGGGGGGGCGGCCCGGAAGGGGAGAGAGATGGGGGGGAGTCCAGCTAGCCGGGTGCGCTCGAGCCTCCTTCTTCCTCCTCCTCCCTCCTCCTCCCTCCTCCTCCTCCTCCTCCTCCTCCTCCTCCTCCTCCTCCTCCTCCTCCTCCTCCTCCTCCTCCTCCTCCTCCTCATAACCGCAGGGAACGGCTGCCGATGTGGAGTGGGTGGATGCCCACCGCAATGGCGGCACTGTCCAGAAGGAGGGCTCCAGCGCCACCGGCTCGCAAGGAGGAGACCGTGAGCGGCTCGGCCCCGTGGGCTTTCGCCCGCGATGCCAGACCCATCCGCGAAGCTCCTGGCCCCATGCGACACGCCAAGGGGCGAGGTCACTCACGTCTGGAGGAGGCCACTGCTGGGACAACCCCCCTAGAAGAGAAGAAGAAGAACAAGAAGAAGAAAAATAAGAAGAAACACCACAAATATGAACTGTTGGCGCTCCGAGCGGATTTCTTGGATCTGCGCTGGACCCCCCTCCCTGGCGCGCGGAGCGCGCCAGGGGCGGCGCTAAAGGCGCCGCGGGGGGGGGGCCCAGCGCAGATCCAAGAAATCCGCGCGCAGCGCCAAAAGTCTGTGTTTATGGCGTTTCTTCTTCTTCGACCCCCCCCCCCCCCGCGCCCACGTCGACCCCCACAGGCAGCCGAACGGTGCGGCAGCCTGAAGGGCGGAAGCCTGCGCCGAGTCCATCAGAACAGGTGACAGGTGCCAGCTCGTGCAGTCGAGAACGTTCACGCGGGGCGCATGGGTAGGGCAAAGAGATCTGTACATGTCCACTGCCCCTGAGCTGTCCCATCCTGGGCCGAGGAGCGGTGCGTGCGTGCATCCCTGGCCAAGCCAGGAGGGCGCACACACACACACACACACACACACACACACACACACACACCAACACCAACACAACACAACACAACACAACACAACACAACACAACACACACACACACACACACCGCTCCTGGGCCCAGGATGGGCCAAGCCTGGGACAACGGACATGTGCCCAGACATGCCGTGTCTTCCTTTGTTCGATGTGCGGTCGTCGGAAGTCCCGACCCTTTCCCCAGGGACGGTTTTTCATCCTGAGTCGTTGCTGACGGCCCCTGGGCCTGGCGAAGGTCCCTCAAGGCCGAAAAGTCTGCAAACCTTGTCGTGTTGTTGCTCGCAAGGCGAGCATGTCTGGACGTAGAACATATCGCTCTAATGGAGGGGACAGGATGGAGGACTGAAGACGAGAAACGAGAGACGAGACGCTGCAGTACGCGGCCCCTCTGATGTGGGGGGTACAAGATGTCCTTGAAGGAATCCTTGCTTCAGAAAACGTGTCCGTTTGGTCGAACGTGGGGAACCTCCTGAATACAAAGGGCACTTTCGCCTCGCAAGGAAGAGGAAGAGGACGACGGCGGCCACCACGACGACGACGACGACGACGACGACGACGACGACGACGACGACGACGACGACGACGACGACGACGACGGCGGCGGCGGCGGCGGCGGCGGCGGCGGCAGCGACGAGGGGACGGCAACGGAAGAGGACGGAGCGCGAGGGCGCGAGGGCGCGGACGGGCGGCGGTCCTCGGCATGCCGCGCATCCTCCCGGGCGGGCGCCAGCGGAGGGCTGGGCCGAGGGACCGCTGTTGGCGTAAAAAGACGCCGGTCCACAGGCGTTGCTCCGACGCGGGGGCTGGACCTAAACGTTGTGTTTCGTTTTGACCTCGGTTTGTTGTTCGTGTTGCTCGACCTGTCTTCCTGTGCCTCCCTGCCAAAACGCAAAGCAAAACACAGCCGAAGTCCAGCAAAACAGCGTTTAGGTCCAGCCCTGCTTCGACGGTGCCGCCCCCGACCCCCCATTTCAATGCTGCGTTCGCGGCCGTTGTCGGTATGCAAGCATCGGCATAAAAAAGGCCCAAAGATCCACCGCCAAGGCAACCCCGTTTTCGACATTGAGATTGGGGGGGGCACGGGGGTTCTGGACACAGCAGCGTTGTCCATTTTGCCTGGTGGGCGTTTTTTACGCCAGCGGCGGGAGGGCGGAAGAATGCCAGAGGCTTGGACAAACCACAGTCAACTCAGGGGGGGGCCTCCGCTGTGGGGAGACGATCCTGGATCTCGACGCTGGTGGCAGTAGCGCTCGGCCACCCGGAAGCCCGAGAGCTGCCACCATCACCGAGATCGGGGTCATCTTCCCTCGTAGGAGGGAGCCGCCGATATTGTTAGGTCGGGCTTGTCCTCCTACAGGCGGATGTTGGACGGAAACGGTCAAAATATTCAGAGAAATGCCAACAACAAAATCAAACCATAATCGAGAAATCGTCCCCAGACTATTTTTGTTGACTATTTGTGAACACTCCCCCTGTAAAGGGATAGGCCCGACTCAACGACAGCGGTGCTGGTGCCGACCTCTGGGCCTCCGAGACTGGGAGGGCGACGGGATCTGTGCGCACGTGTCCGCAGCACCCTGGCCAGGCCCATCCTGGGCCCAGGAGCGGTGCAGGGCTGGACCTGGACGCTGTTTCTTCGTCCTGCTTCCATTATGTTGCTCGTTCTGCTCGACCTGTTTTTGCTCCCGCACCCCCCTCCCGGAACGAAGTGACAAGACACCGCCAGAGAGTCCAGCAGGACAGAGTCCCGCACCCCCCTCCCGGAACGAGATGACAAGACACCGCCAGAGAGTCTAGCGCTCAACAAGTCCAGCAACCTGGAGCGGCGCGTGCGCCCATCCGGCGGTCCGTGCGTGGCGCTCGAAGCTTAGGTTCGTGGAACTTTTTCTTCGTTAAGTCAAGGCTGACACGCGTTGCGGCGCCAAGACCAGGCCCCCCTCCCGAGCTGCCCCCCAGCTCCCCGGGCTGCTCTTCAACCCCAAAGAGACGCCGAGAGATGCACGGTTCCCCCCGGGGCCGTAGGCGACCCGAGGAGGAGGAGGAGGAGGAGGAGGAGGAGGAGGAGGAGGAGGAGGAAGGAAGAGAAGGAGGAGGAGGAGGAGGAGGAGGAGGGAGGAGGAGGAGGGGAGGTGGAGGAGGAGGAGGAGGAGGAGGAGGAGGAGGAGAGGAGGAGGAGGAGGACGAGGAGGACGAGGAGGAGGAGGGGGAGGGGGAGGAGGTGGGGAGGGGGAGGGGGAGGAGAGAGGAGGAGGACGAGGACGAGGAGGAGGAGGAGGAGGAGGAGGAGGAGGAGGAGGAGACGGAAGACGGGTCGCCTAAGCCCTTCGGAGAAACCCTCCACGCCGAGAGACCTACCGTGGACGATCCGCCTGGCGCTACACCAGCCCTCGGCCGCCTCCCGACCCTCTCGCGGCTTGGCCACGCAGGGACGCCTCAAGACGGCCCTCCCGAGCGGCCCCCCGACTCTCCAACGTGCCCTTCCGCCAAGCCCACAGGCGGCCGAAGACGCCCAAGAAGCCTCCAAGACGGCCCAAGACTGCCCAAGAGGTGCCCAAGAGGCCTCCAAGACGGCCCAAGAGGCCTCCCAGAGGGCGTCCAGGAGGGCCCGAAGAGGCTAAAATCATTGATTTTCAATAAAAAGATTGAAGAATTGTTGTATTTGCTCCTTTTCGGCCTTCCGACGGCTCAAGACGGCCTAAAAGGCCCCAAGATCGCCCCCCGGCCACCAGCACACCCTGCCTGAGAGCACCCTCTCCGAGCCGCCGCAAGAAGCCAACAGGAGGGGGAACAGAAGAAGAACAACCCCAGACACCCAGCGCATCGATTTTCTCGACACACGGACCCCCGACCTCTCGACCACTTCCCCGGGCCGGTCTCTCACCCCGAGTCGTTTGTGGACGGTCCCGAGGCCTGGCAAGTGCCCCGAGAAGCCGAAAAACGACTAAAAAACTCTGTCCTCGGGGAACTACCGACCTGGGTCAATGCAACCTGGGTCGGTCGGGATTCGCAGGATACTGCAAGATCCTGCAGGGTCCTACAGGATCCTGCACCCAAGCTCGGGTCAACGCAACCCTTGCCTCGCAGGATCCTGCAAGACCCGACGCGCTCTGAATGACCCCCTGTTTACACTGACATCCGTCTCTCGAGCCCAGACGTCCTGATGTTTCCGAGAAGCCGGGTGTCTGGGACGGATCGGTCGGACCATCTCTTGGGGGGCGGGCGGGCCCTGTGAACGCATGAAAAGCGACCCCGCCCCCCGCACAAGGAACTCTAGGCCAAGCCGACGGCAATGGCCTCGCTCACGGGCGCCTGCACTTATGCACACTCGCCGGACTTGCACAACGCCGACCTATAAAATCCGTAGTCGTGGTGCGTGGCGGGGATCTATCCATTGCACCGCCTGGGAACCGACGTCCTGGTGCCCCAGCGGGCGGTGGACATGGATATATTTCGGCCCGGGGGGCCCGAGCATACCCACATCCCCCGCCTGCGAGGTCCCCGAGAATTGCTCCTCCAGGCGGTGGTCAGGCATGCACTGCCGCCTCAGAATTGGGGGCCGGGGTCGGCTTTTCCTGCTGACTCCCTACCAGAAGACCCCAACCCAACCCGAAGACCCGAATTTGAGCCGAATTTCAGGTTGGGGGGGGGTACGGGTTCCATGTGTTTTCTCGGCGCTCCCCGACCCCCCCCCCACTGGAAATGGGGGGCAAATCGAGGCCTTCGGGTTGGGTTGGGGTGGTTTGGTGGGTTTGAGGAGGTTCGCCATGAAATCTGGGGAAATATCATGGCCCCCGCCATGATATCCGACCCCCCCCCCTCGTCATCACCCCCCTCTTCTCCGCCCCCGAGCTTTTCCTGC